CCATGCCCAATATAATCTCGAACTCGTCAAACGACAATTCCATAAGATTTGCTGGGAACACCACCCCTTGAATCTTTATGGGATATTTTCTGCTCATCCAATTTACTCTAGCACTATGCCCCAGTGGATTCATAGCTATCATATCACTATCGATGGGTACTAATAAAATACCTTTATCTCTGAATAATTTCGAACTAACATAGGAATACGTAGAACCCGAATCAAACAAAACAAATACATGTTCATCATAAAGATAGAAAATACCTGCTATAATCTCAGGATCATCGCAATATTCTCTAGTCTTGATATTATAAGCTCTAGCTGAGGCACAAACATCAGACTGATAAGCTGTCTGAGAGCTGTCTTAGAATATCTTCTCCCTCTACCTCCTTTACCTCGATCTCGCTGAGATACAACTGTAGATCTTTCTATCTTAACAAATCTATCCCTTGCAAACGGGTAGTCCATGAAAAAATGAACCATGTCTCCACAACAGAAACAAGCTCCCGAAACTATTTTGCATACCCCAGGGTTAGTCTTACCACAATGCTGACATGGTGGAAACTGACACTGTGACTGAGTTGATTTACCAACTCCAATAGTTGTCGTCTGAATCTGAAGACTTTTTTCTTTTACTTCAGATCCTTTTAAACTAGAAGAACCACATTCTAATTTATTTTGGTACTGATAACTCAAACCTCGACCTCTTTTAGACTGGAACGAGGATGATGTTCCTAATCTTTTTGAGTGACTTCTCTGATCAATCATAAATTTTTAATCTTGAGCCATTTCCAAATATTTATCTTTATTTACCATTTCTTTAAAAGTGGTCAAATTCGCAGTCAACAGAAGTTCCTTCAGTCCGGGGCAAAAACCTTGAATAAATTTCTAACATACATCTTTCTCTGTAGGAACCAACTCTGAAGCATATAGAGCAAGCTTATTAAACTCACATCCATATTCGTAAACAGGTCTATTACCCTAAATCATATTGAAAAAGTCCTGCTTCATATTCGTAATAAACTGCTCCCTGATATATTTCTTCTGAAATGCCTCCAAGAAAAATTTCCAAGTAATCTAATCTGGTGGAATACGCATCGTCACATTATCCACCAAATAGGAGCAAAACCTTGGAGTAATGAAACTATGCCCTCCAATCTTTCCTCGTCCGAACAGTGAAGACTGTATAACATCATTTTCACATCATTAAGCCACATATCCGCGACAATTGGGCCTTCATTTGCTTCACCTTTAAATTAATATGCCCCTAAACTTTTCAACTCTTTTGGAATTGACACTCTCGAAACCGAAGGAGCAGGAGAATGAGGTGAGGCGGAGGAGGGGGAGGTGCTGCCACTAGATGATATCAAGCTAAAATAACCTCTAATGCCTGTTGAAATGTCCCTTGATCAGGAGCTGACACTTCCTCTTGTGCCTGTGCTCCTTGCTAATCATGCTTAACATGTGGTGCATACTCTACCTCATTGCTACTGCCACTACTAGTACCAGTTCCCTCAGGAACCTCATGTTCGGTAGATCATCTTGAGCCCTCCGAATCTAACATCTAAATATTCACAATTATCTATAAGTTATCAAGGAGTAGCATAACAAATTAAATCATAAAACTATACCTGTAATTTCGACATTCTAGTGGCATGTACATATTTTTAACATAACATAAGCTCGGTTTAGGCCGAGAATCAGCTAAACCTGTAACTCTGATACAAATAAATGTAACACCTATAACCCGTATACATCTCAAAATACGAGTTAAAGATGTCACATCAATATTACAAACATTAGTTGAATAGCAATTCCTAATTAATTATTTTCTTTTCATCTTAAAACATTCCATTATCAACTTTTAACTATTTTATTGATTCACATAAAATTATAAAATAATATTTAATATTTTAAAACGAGTCTGATTTTATGTAGTAATTTAGACAATTTAGTGTTGTTTAATAACTTATATAAAATTGCCTAAATACTTTTTAATTTAAAAACCATTTAAAAACATAAATTTATATATTTATTGCTTAAGCATTATATTATGACATACAAACCAAACCAAAACGAAGTAGTTCTAATTTACTATTATAGACCAAATAAAATAAATATGAAAAAGCAAAGTAACAAACATAAATATACATGCCACTAACAGTCAAAAGTAACATTGGAGATGTCTTACTGATATTGGTAGTAGATATGATCTCCAAAAGATGCTCGGTAGGCTCCTCACAACACGTCCCTTTCTTTATCAGAACCTATGGATGAACAAATCATTATACGCTAAGTATAACTTAGTGAGGCAATAATAACCCAAGGTGAGATAAAATAATTTAATATATAACAAATAAAATAAAACAATTAAAAGAATTCAATAAGATCTTTATATTCCCAACCGCCAATTCAAGCCAATTTCATCATAAAAAAACCTGAAAATGAATATCATCCCATGATTTTATCAAAATCATGATAAACATTACCAGATAAGATAATAATTTCATATATCTTTATATTCAGACAAGTTTAATAAACTTTCTCAATGCATTTCACAGCCCAACGTATATTTAATAGAATGCAAGGTACGTGAGTCAGACAGAATATGCGCGCTAAATAGTATTTTACCTCCCCCTTACCCCATACATATGGGAAAAAAGGGACAACCATATGAACTCCAAGTGCAATCATATAATTTGCACAAAAGGTGCCAGTCATAATGTACACGAATGTACCAGGTCAGAATCAATATTACTCAACACAATAACATGCCAAATGTACCTACGAATCTCAATGGAATATACAATAGGCGTTTCATATAGTATTATAATCATTGAATAACCAACAGTTCAATTCGGAATCAATTTCAATTCATTACCGTAAAAACATAAAATTGGGTAGTCCATACCCTAAACCATTCATAAAACCTTTATTTAAACATTATGGAAACAATCCTTAATTAATTAGAAATCATACTTTAAAATAAATATAAGGTTGACTTATCGAAAGTCTTACTCGATCAGAATAATTAAATGAATAAGCTACACTCACCTTTGCCTTACTATCGAACCTTTTAGCGATACTCCTAGTCACATGCTTTATCTTTTCCTTTTAGGTCGTTTGGATCACTAGATTTATCGTGATCTGAAAACATCACTTAATAAAACAAATTATTCAAAATATATGTTAATATTATACTAACATAAACTAACTTTGATAATATAAAAATCTATAAAAAAATAAAATCATTACTTAATCGATATAAAACTAAATCATATATCCATAATAATCTCAAAACTTTCCAAAATCCTCATTCGAATTCATGAATATTTATATTCATTATCAACCCTTCAAATTTTGCCAATTGCATAGTCTAATCACTAATTATGAATTTTTTTCTAGATTTCACCTTAACTTTCCTATTAAATTCATAATGATCCTTCACCATTATGATCATTGCACATTAATTACCAAAATTTCCAGCACCTAAATAAAATACTCAAAAAATACTTTAACATTAAATAATTTAAAATGAAGTCTTTAAATTCATAATACCTTTCGAATTCCACATTCCAATTTCACCAAATTTAAAATTTTGTCCAAACAACTTTCCAACTTAAAATTCCATCATATAATCATTATAAATCAACATTGAGTACCTGAAATTGCACATTTACACATTAAAGTCCCATAATTCTTATAACTTGCAAACTAGCCATTTTTCTATTTTAAACTTCCAAATTGATCCAAAATTATCTCCAAATCACATTGAACACTTCTAATATCCATTCTAAACCATAAGAAATTTTCAATATTTTCCCCTAATTCTCTTCATAAGGTCGAACCTATCAAAGTACATAGGGTAAACTTTTCATTCAATTTCAAGCATGAACTCAACTTCCTTAGATCAAATTTATGTTATTCTAATAATCACAACATCAAATTGAATCAAAATCAACCAATCTCAATAAACCCAAGATGTGGTTAGATATTATATAAGCATGTACAAAAATGTTTCATCATCATAGACGCTTTAGGAATAATCTCCAACAACAAATTCATAATAATCTCCCTTTAAATCATTCAAAATCCATAAACCCTTCATAAACCCTAATCACTAAATATCAATACCCAAACATGTTTACCATGATTTTTTATAACAAATGATAGAGAATTTGAAGGAGAACATTTTTTTATTTCTCAATTTAATCCAAAATCCTACTAAAATAGCTCAAAAATGAAAAAGAAATTTTTTTCTTACCTTGTAGGGGTTCACAACCGCAAACTGATGTAGAAGAAGAACTCTTGATTTTTCTAGTAATTTTCATAATACACTTGGCATTTAAACTTATTAAATTGAATTTAAAAATTCAATTTATGAAAAATCCTTAAATTACCATTAATGAATCTTGAAAATTACCAAATGCCATTGCATTATCTTCTATTAAAATATTCCTTGGTCAAATATGAATCCATTTAGCTTTGACTGTCTACTTTGGCCATGTAATTTTGAAAAATTACAGTTTAGTCACTGAATTTCCATTCTTCGGCCAAAATCTGTTAAATTACTTTGATCAGTGCTAAATTTCTATGATATAAATATGGAAATAATATTTCCAACCCTTATCTAGCTTCCTTCAAATTTTCATAAAATTATGGTTTGATCCGCTTATCAGATTTCTATACCAAACTTTATCGCTTTTAACTTTTAATACAAATCATGTACCAAAAATCTCATTCCCACGAAAAATTATTATTTTAGGCCAAAATGTTCATTTACGGGCTAAAATATATAACTTTTAAAATTTATATTTTTGGTCCTTAAACTTTTACAAAGTTTATACTTTAGCCACCAAACTTTTTAAACTTATATTTTAGTCACTAACCAAAGTTTGGGGTATTACAATTCTTCCCCCTTAATGAAAATTCGCCCTCGAATTTTCCATATCTATCTAGTTATCTAATGTAAAATGATGAGAAATATCTTATTATCGTTCTCAAGTCGCTTTCTCAACTTTATGATTTCGCCAAAGAACTTTTACTAGTTGAATTGTCTTATTTCTCAGTTCTTTAACTCCATGAGCTAAAATCCTTATAGGTTCCTCCTCGTACATTAGATCCGGCTGAATCTCAATTTCCTCTGGTGTAATCACATGCGAAGGATTTAATCGATACTTCCGAAGCATTGAGACATGAAACACATTATGAATTTTGTCCATTTCTGGATGTAATGTTAACTGATAAGCTATTGGTCCAACTTTTTTGATAATATCATACGGGAAAATGAATCTCAGACTCAACTTTTCTTTGTGCCTGAACCTCAGAACCTTTTTCCAGGGTGAAACTTTAAGAAATACTTTATCGCCCTCTTGATATTCACTCTCTTTCCTTTTCAAATCATCATACAATTTCTGTATGTCAACAACTATCTTGAGATTATTTTGTATTACTTTCACTTTGTCTTGTACTTCTTTGATCAAATTTGGGCCAATTATGTCTCGATCTTTTAACTCAAACCAGTTCAATGGTGTCTGATATTTTCTTCCGTATAGAGCCTCAAAATGAACCATCTTGATACTCAATTGATAACTATTATTATAAGAAAACTCGACCAAAGGCAAGTACTTTTCCCATGATCCTTTAAAATAAATCACACAAGCCCTTAGCATATCTTTAAGTATCTGAATGATTCTCTCATATTGACCATCTATTTTGTTGATGAAAAGTTGTACTGAAGATCAGTCGAGTACCTAGAGCTTCATGCACAGACTTCCAGAATCTCAATGTAAACCTTGAGTTTCTATTAGAAACTATCAAGACAGATACCCCATGAAGTCATACAATCTCTCTAATATACAATGCAATATACTTATCCATCAAGTAATCTTTCTGAACTGGGATAAAGTGTTTTGTCTTTGTCAATCTATCCACAATCACCTAGATCAAGTTTTTCTTACATTGTGTTAAACATAAATCTGTCACAAAATCCATGGTAACCCTTTCCCATTTCCACTAGGGAATGGTAATAGGTTGTAGCAAACCAGATGGCACCTGATGCTTTGTTTTTACTTGCTGACAGGTTAGACATTTAGATACAAACTCAAATATAGCCCTTTTCATATCTTCTCACCAATATCTACTCTTCAAATCTTGATACATTTTATTCCATCCGGGATGTATAGTCAAAGGACTATAATGAGCTTCAGAAAGAATATATTTCTTCAATTCTTCATCATCAGGTATGAAACTCGACCCCGATAATGTAAACATTTATTAGGCTTAACTTTGAAGTCTTTCGTTTCACATTTCTTCACTTTCTCGATCCTTTCTAAACACTTTTTATCTTTACTTTGAAGATATTTAATTCGGTCTAATAATGCAGACATCAATTTCAATTCTGAAACAAGTGCACCATCATTTTTCATTGATAATATTGTATCTAAAGCTCTCAAAGTAGAAAATGTTTTTCGGCTAAGTGCGTCAACTACTATATTCGCTTTCCTATGATGGTAGTCAATAATCACATCATAGTCTTTTAGAAGCTTGATCTATCTCCTTTGTCTGAGATTAAATTATTTATAAGTTAGTAAATAATTTAAACTTTTATGATTTGTATAAATATAGTATCGTTCACCATATAAGTAGTGGCACCAAATCTTTAAAGAAAATACCACAATTGCCAATTGAAAATCATGCGTTGGATAATTTTGTTCATGAGTTTTTAATTGTCTCGAAGCATAGTCTACCACGTTACCTTCTTGTATAAAAAAAACGTCCCAAACCATTATGAGACGCATCAATATAAATCACATAATCCTTACCCGATTCTAGTTACACTAAAACTTGTGCTTCTGTCAAAATCTACTTAAGTGTATCCAAGCTTTCTTGGCAAATTTTAGTCCAAACATTTTTCGGAGTCTTCCACTCCAGTATAGATTGTACTTTATTGGGATCTAATCAATTTCCCTTTGCTAAAATCACGCAGCCAAGAAAAAAAACTTATGATTTCCATAATTCACATTTCGATAACTTAAAATATAACTTTTTATCTTGAAATGTCTGAAGTAGAATTCGGAGATGTGAGTCGTGCTTCTCTTTGGTCTTAGAATACATCAAGATATCATCAATGAACACAACTAAGAATTGATCCAAGTACGGATGAAACACCCGATTCATTAAATCCATGAATGCTACTGGAGCATTAGTTAATCCAAATGACATCACTACAGACTCATAGTGACCATATCAGGTCCTGAAAGCCGTTTTTGGAATATCTTCCTCTTTAATCTTTAACTAATGATACCCTAGTTGAAGATCAATCTTCGAAAATACTAAATCACTCTTGAGCTGATCGAACATATCATCAATCCTCGGAAGAGGGTACTTGTTCTTTACTGTCACTTTATTCAACTGACGATAGTCTATATATAGCTGCATCGATCCATATGTCTTTTTAACAAACAATATCGGTGCACCCCATGGAGACACACTTGGTCTGATAAAGCCTCGATCAAGTAGCTCTTGTATTTGTGCCTTTAACTGTCTTAGTTCTGTTGGAGCCATTATGTAAGGGGCCATCGAAATAGGCGTAGTACCTGGAAAAATATCAATCTTAAACTCCACTTCTCGATCAGGAGGTAATCCGGGTAACTCATCAGGAAATACATCTAAAAATTATCATACTATCAGAATATCCTCTAGTCGAACTCCAGATGTTCAGGTGTCAATTACATTTACCAAAAATGATGAGTAGTCTTTTTCCATCAATTACGTTACCGTCACTGCTGGTATTACGTTAAGAAATTATTTCACTTTTTCTCCGATTACTATTATTTAATTACCATCCAGATCTTTCAAAAATATATGCTTTATGCGAAAATCAACCCAAATATAATGCAGAGATAACCAATCCATGCCCAATATAATCTCAAGCTTGTCAAACGATAATTCCATAAGATTCACCAGGAATACCACCCATTGAATCTTTATGGGACATTTTCTGCTAATCCAATTTACTCTAGTACTATCCCCCAGCGGAATCGTAGTTATCATATCACTATCGATGGGTTCTAATGAAATACCTTTATCTTTAACTAATTTCAAATTAACAAAGGAATGCTTAGAACTCAGATCAACCAAAACAAATACAAGTTCATCATAAAGATAGAAAGTACCTTATATAATCTCAGGATCATCGCGATCTTCTATAGTCTTGATATTATGAACTCTGGATGGGGCACCATCATCAGACTGATAAGCAGTCTTAGAATATCCCATCCCTCTACCTCCTCTGACTCAACCTCGCTGAGATACAACTATAGATCTTTTTGTATGAACAAATATATCTCCTGCCAATGGGAAGTTATGACAAAATGACCCGTGTCTCCACAACAGAAACAAGCTCTCGTAACTATTCTGCATATCCCAGGGTAAGTCTTATCATAATACTGACATGGTGGAAACGAATCCCTTGTCTCTAGTAGATATTGTCTGAATCTGACAACCTTTTTATTTTACTTCAGATCATTTTCGACTAGAAGCACCACCTTCTGATTTATTTTTGTAGTAATAACCTAAACCTCAACTTCTTTTAGACTGGAACAAAGATTATGTTCATGATATTTTTTATTGCAGTCTTCGATCAATCATAAACTTTTCATCTTGAGCCATTTCCAAATCTTTAGTTTTATTTACCACTTCTTGAAAAGTGGTCAAATTCGTAGTCAAAAGATGTTCCTTCAGTTTGGGTCGAAGACCTCGAATAAATTTCTGACATACACCTTTCTTTATAGGAACCAACTCTGAAGCATATCGAGCAATCGTATTATACTCATATTTATATTCGTAAATAGGTCTATTACCCTAAATTTGATTGAAAAAGTCATGCTTCATCTTTGTAATAAATTACTCCCTGATATATTTATTCTGAAATGCCTCCAAGAAAAATTGCCAAATAATCTAATCTGGTGGAACACGCGTTGTCACATTCGCCCACCAAATCCGAGCCTAACCTCGGAGTAATGAAACTATGCCCTCCAATCTTTCCTTGTCTGAACATTGAAGACTGTCCAACATCAATTTCACATCATCCAGCCACATATCCACCACAACCGAGCCTTCATTCGCTTCACCATTAAATTCATATGCCTCTAAACTTTTCAACTATTTCAGAATTGATACTCTCAGAGCTGGAGGACCAGGAGAAAGAGGTGGGGCGAAAGAGGGGGAGGTGCTGCCACTGGCTGATATCGAGCTAAAATAGCCTCTAATGCCTGTAGAATTGTCCCCTGATTATCAACTTTTCATTATTTTCTTATTAAAGACATTTGTTGAATAATAATTCTTATTAATTATTTTTTTTTCATCTTAAAATATTCCATTACCAACTTTTAACTTTTTATCGATTTGTGTAAAATCATAAAATAATATTTAATCTTTGAAAACAAGTTCGATTTTAGGCAATAATTTAGGTAGTTTAGTGCTGTTTCGCAATCTATATAAAATTTCCTAAATACTACTTAATTTAAAATCCATTTAAAAAATAATTTATATATTTATTGTTTACGCATAATATTATGATATATTAACCCAACCAAAGCTAAGTAGTTCTAATTTACTATTACAGACCAAATAAAATAAATCCGATAAAGAAAACTAACATACATAAATATACATGCCACTAACAGTGAAAAGTAACATCAGAGATGTCTTAATGATATAGGTAGTAGATATGATCTCCAAAAGATGCTCTGTAGGCTCCTCACTACACCCCCTTTCTTTAACAGAACCTACACATTAAAATCATCACACACTAATTATAACTTAGTGAGGCTGTAATAACTCAAGGTGAGATAAAACAATTTAAAATAGCAAAATAAAATAAAACATTTAAAAGAATTCAATAAGATCTTTATATTCCCAACCGCCTATTCAAGCCAATTTCTTCATAAAAAACTGAAAAATCAATAGCATCTCATGATTTTGTCAAAATCATGATAAACATTACCAAATAAGATAATTATTTCATATTTCTTTCTATTCAAACGCATTTAATAAATTTTCTCATTTCATTTCATAGCCCAAAGTATATTTAAGAGAATGCAAGGTACGCGAGTAAGATAGAATATGCGCGTTAAACACTTCACGGTGCTATCATCAGAATCAGTATATGCACTCCAACTGTAATCATATCATTTGCACCAAAAGTGCCAGTCATAATGTACATGAATGTACCAGATCAAAATTAGTATTACTCAACACAATGACATGCCAAGTGTACCTACGACTCTCAATGCAATAAATAATGGAATTTTCAGATAGTATTATAATCATTGAATAATCAACAATTCAATATGGGAATCATTTTATATTCATTACTGTAAAAACATAAAATTGGGTAGTTCATACGCTAAACCATTCATAAAACTTTTATTTAAACATTATTGAAACAATCCTTAATTAAATAGAAATCATACTTTAAAATAATATGAGGTTGACTTATCGCAAGTCTCCCTCAATCAGAATAATTAAATGAATAAGTTGCACTCACCTTTGTATTACTACCGAACCT